TGACCTTTTCCTGCACAGGTCTCCTAAGAAGGTAGGAGGAGATACTGATAGGATTCACCTGTGAGTGATTGTAAACAGTATTTCCTGGAATGTCATCCTACTGGGTATAAAAAAAAACCCTCTGAGAAGTAGGAGGAGGGAAACTCATTCCCAGCAAGAGCCAAGAGTGGACCATGTCCTCTTGACCTGAAATCCTTCAGAGAAGCAGCACCAGGAGCCAGAGCCTGGAACAGTCATGGACTTTCCAATCCACAGAACAAGTAGAGCTGAGTGCTTTTGTGCAGGAGGCTGGCTTGAGGAGTGGCATGCCTCTAGGCACAATTGGGAATCCAGAGAGGTAAAATAGGAGAACATTAAAACAGCTCAATCCTATAAGAACTGGCTTTACTGTGTACTGTCCATGGAGATCTTTGAGGTTGCCTCTGGAATTCAAGAAGTAGATTTCCTGATTACTTCACTTTAAGTGAAGTGACCATCCTTTCAGCTAAGTGATACGTAAGACAAAGACCATTCAGATTGTATGATAAGGAGAAGGATTTGGGGAAACATGGCTCTGATACTCTCAAACTTGAGGTGGGTATGTCCAGTGGGATTTTGACTACATAAAACCTTTGGGCTAGAGATTTTAAACTCATGAACTGTTGATGTTTGAGGAATGAATGCCATCTTAAGTGGAAAGTGAGTAAGAGTAAGTGGCTTAGGAATCGACCATCAAAACAAAAAGCAAAAGAAACATATTGCCCTCAAGTTGAATTCCAACTTACAGTGATCCTACATGATGGATTAGAACTGCCCCAGGAGGCTTTCATGGCTGAGAATATTTACAGGAACATAGTGCCACATAATTCTCCCACCAGATGGCAGGTGGGTTCAAACTGCTGGCCTTTTCGTTAGTAGCAAAACTCTTAACCACTGCACTACCAGGGTTCCTTAGGATTGAGCATGGTCACCAACAACCTATCAGGACCTGACTGAGGAGGGAGGGTCCACTGCTGTGGAGCTTACACAACAGAGAAGAGGTGAATGATGTCAGCAAAGTCAAGGTAGTACAGTTTCAAGGCGAAAAGGCAGTCTCAGAAGTTCATTGGATGTGATGATGAGAAGCCAGTGATGGCCTTTACCTGGCAGCATTATTTCTATGGAGTTAAGTATTTGCATTCAGATTTCAAAGGCCAAAGGAAAAGTGAGAAAAATGTTAAAAAGTACAATCATCCATCCTGGTGAACTTTCAAAAGTAGAGAGGAGGTGCCCTGATGCTGAGTGGAGGAGATAAGGTGCGTGATTGAGGACTGAAGTAGACCTGAAAGCAAAAGCCAAGCCCACTGCTGTGCAGTCGGTTCTGACTCTTAGGGTCCCTACAGGACAAAGTAGAACTGGCCCATAAGGTTTCCAAGACTGTACAATCCTTAGGGAAGCGGACTGTCAACACCTTTCTCCCAGAGTGGCTGGTGTTTGGGGTTACAGACCTTTCCGTTTTCACCACTGCACCAGCGAGGTTTCTGAAGTAGACTTGTCCACGGACCCTGTGTGCAGCAGAAGGAAGCGGTGCGCTCTGCCCTGCTCCATCCTGAGAATCGTTGCGGTCCCCGAGCCCTGTCAGTCCATCTCATAGAGGGCCTTCGTTGTTTGCTGACCTTCTACATTATCAAGCATGGTGTCTTTCTCTAGGGATTGGTTCCTCCTGATAGGATGGCCAAAGGATATGTACATGTTATCAGGAGAGGCATTCCCTGAAGAAATACATTGGATACCTTAGAAATATTCTCAAAGAGCAGCATATGGGTAAACCAACCCCCCAGAAGATTTAGCCGTTGGTCCTGTGGGAAAGCCAGCAGGGGACAGCAGAAGAGCATCATCTAGGTCTTGGCACGACTTGACTTACATACTTTGGACATGTCCGGAGAGACCAGTCCCTGGAGAGAGAGACCGCATGCTTAGTAAAGGAGGAGGACAGCGAAAAAGAGGGAGTCCCTCAGCAGGATGGGTTGGACACCGTGACTGCAACAATGTGCTCAGGCAGTTGTGAGGATGGCTCAGGCCTGGGCGGTGTTTCGCTCTCCTGGGCATGGGGTCCCTGAGGCTCGGGCTGACTGGGTGGCACCTAGCAGCAGCAGCGGGTCTCCTGACTCCAAATCAGGTAGAGTCCAACCGTGACACCCAAAATAGAAGGAGGACATTTCAAATCATGCGGAATGCTAATTCTTTTAAGTATTTTAATTTCTTCTGTTAGATACAGGATGGAATAAATTGTGATTGTGCTTTAGTATCTTTTTATGCTCACTGTATTGTGCATGCAAAAAATGTGTGAATAAAAAGCCACTGGCAGGATCTGGACCCACATGTCAAACTCGGTCATGATGCAAATGTCAATAATTAAGGGGTGCCATACTAGTTTTATTTCTGATTGGTAAAAATCATTAAATTTCAGAATGAATTGGAAATGTAAAGCACTAAATTTTAAATGAACCATTCTTAGTTATGAGCAGTTAGTTATGTCTTATCTTTGAGCAGGTGTGTGGAAATAAAATGTTCAAATATGTATATTTTAGCATCCGTGCCAAAATAAAACTAGTTTTTGGTGTAAGAGCACCACCTATAGGTTTTTATTCTTGAAAAATAATTTAAAAACCTAATAAAGTTTTTTTTCTTCTTCTTCTGGTTTTCCCTCTAATTAGCTTATTAGTTTATTTAGAAGTTAACAGTTTTCTACTTTGTCATTAAAAAAAAATTCTCACTGCTATTAAATGAGCTAGTATATGAGTACTTGCTTATATGCTAGTGCTATTGTACTGTTAAATACAATTTAACTCCAGAATTATATTGTCTCTCTAATGTAGATGAGTCTCTATAGGAAAATAATTTCCTACCTTCTGGGACAGGAGTGATTATTGGTTTCACTTGTTTATTTCATGTTTACATTCATGCCTTTTGCTCTGAAAGGCTTTGGCAGGAAATAACAAAGAAAAAGTCTAATCAGTTATTCCAGGGTATTCATTTCATTAAATTACTGTGATAACTCATTAGAGCAGGTAGAAACAGAACTCTAGTAATTTAAATTCTTTAAAGTATTCTTTATTAAAGTTTACATCTTTCAGTAAGAAAATTGACTTTTCACAGTTAAACAGCTGGGAGCTTTGACTGCATGGACTATGAGGTACATAGTAAGCTCTATGTGTATGTCTCTGTAGGGTGTATTCTATGCCAGGAATCTTGATATTCTGAGTAATTTTAAACCAGGATCCTGTTTGTTGTGTGCCGTAATTCCAGACTGACTCATTTGCTTCATGGCCGCCCCCCCCCCACTTGTGGGAGAAATGACTTTTAAAACTTGATTGTATATTTTCTTTAGGAAATAGGTTATTCTATAGAGATAAGGATTGACTCTTTAAGCAGTGTAGCTTTAAAAAGCCTCATCTCTCTCCGAGTGACTGGTGGTTTTGAACTGCTGGCCCTGTGACTAGCAGCCCCAACACATAATCCATTATGCCACCAGGGTTTCTTTTGTCTCAAAGTGCCAGAAATGTGCTCAAAATTTAACTGGGAAAGAGCTGCCTCTTCAAAAGAGAGCCAGCCTTAATGGTGTCAAGCCTTCATTTGCTAATGGGGCACACCTAGAAATGAGAAGAAATGTTAATGTCTCTCTCCCTGCCATTGAGTTGATTCCAACTCATAACGACCCACTGGGACAGGGTAGAACTGCCCCTTGGGTTTCTGAGACGGAACTCTTCACTTGAAGAGTTAGAAAGTCTCATCTTTCTCCCCCGGGGCAGCTGGGGGTTTCACAGTGCTGCTGGCCTTGGGGTTAGCAGCCAGTGCATAGCCGCTATACCGCCAGGGCTCGTCACTTTCATGATAGGAGCGTGGAATGTACGGTGCTCAGCACCAGGTGGTATTTTGTTCTGATGTACAGAGGGCCTCAATGGGTCTACTCGGTGACACCTCATAACAACAATGTATTCGTCATTCTTAAAATTGTTCACACTTCTAGTAGCTATGTACCTCTGGCAGCTGTTTTCCTCACATCTAAATTGGTTATATCTCCTCTGCTCTTACATTAAAACCAGGTGATTTAATTTGTTCAAAAAGAGAATTAAGTAAAGGTATAGGCTATGAAATTCTATCTACTGAAGGCTTAAATATTCTTCATATAATGTTTTGTAGCTTGATGGCCCTTTTTTTTTTATGATTGGGAGAAATTAAACTCAGGTTGTCAGCCAAATTTTGGATAGGTAAGGTATTAACTGTTTTACAGTGGGATTTCAAGATAATGCAAGGAAAGTAATCAAAGAAACTGCTGGTAGTAGCATATCCGGCTTGCATGAGTATTTTCCTTTAGAGTATTCAGATAGTTAATCATATATTGTTGGTTACTTTGAAGCTTTATTGAAATAACATAGGAATTATTCATAGCCCTGTAATAATGCTTTAGAGTGTTACTGACTAGATTTCACAATTTTGCATAATTTTGAGGTTAATGTTCTGCTTGCCTTTCTCGATGATCCACTAACCTCTTAACAAAAATTATAATCTCACACTTCAGGTCACAGTTTCATATGTTTTCTTTATTACTTTGTTCAGAAGACTTTCATTTAAAGTACCCTAAATGCAGTATTATGAACGATAGTTGAGTACACATTGAACTTTTAGATAATTTGAATAAAACCAATTTTAAAAGACAGTTTTGAAGATAGACAGAAAGCTCAATCTCTGTGGCCAAAGCTAGCGATCATGACTCTCAAACTGTTACTCCAGATCTGGTCTGAAAATGTCTGTGCGTGCGCTGTGTCCTTAATTAGGTTAAAGGGCTTTGACTAAAAGGGCAGGCAAGACATATCTTATTAGAATAATAGAAGCCCTTTAAAGTTGCTAATACCATATTTTATTGTATATGATTGGTTGTCTGAAGTGGGGTTTTGTGTTTGTTGTTAATAAATGCTGGTGTTCATAATGCTGCGTGGAAAGTATAATAATTATCTGAGACTGCTTTGGCCATCTTCCAGCTTGTGGAGAGACTCCAGAACAAATCCGAGCACCGAGTGGCATAATTACCAGCCCAGGCTGGCCCTCCGAGTATCCTGCCAAGATCAACTGTAGCTGGTTCATAAGGGCAAACCCAGGGGAAATCATTACTATAAGGTAATTCTGATCCATTTCTGTGTTACTCTATATTATTTTATTACAAAATACAAATTCAATTCCCAATATCATTATTCAACATGCAGTAATATAAAAAGAAGCCTCTCAGACAATCTAATGAATCATACCTATCAGTTTTATCGTGCGGGAAGAATAATGACCGTCCTTTCGCTACTGTTAGTGAAGCATGTGTTTTGAATATTTCCTAAGGGCAGATTGCATGGAGCCTGCCACGTTCCTCAAGCCCACCTGTGAACAAAAGGTATACATGTGCAAAATGGCTTAATAGGATACTATTGTAATCCTTGGCTGTGGACAAGCTAACAAAACTTACCATTCTACTGTGGATGTAGACCACGACTTCAGTCTCATTAGTAGAGTTATCTATATTTGAAACATGTGAATAGTGGATAAATACTATGTTTAGAAAGATATTTTTCTAACTTTGAACAAAAGAATACAGAATGTTAGGAAAAGAGTGAAAGGCATCCTTGAGGAAATACCTGTGAGTTTCAGATTCTAAACTAAATATGATATTAAGAAGATTAATTGTAGAAATCACTTTATGAATTAGCTACAGAGAAAGTCTGGGACTACGTTGTTGAGAAAAATTTCAGTGCAGCTAGGTATTGTTTGCTTAAGGAAACTATATCAAGGCTATTTAAAATTATATATTGTCCTGAAGGCAAAAGAAAATAGTGTCTTTAAACAAACTAAAGAGCTCCAGGGCCCAATGGTTAAGCACTGGGCAGCTAGCCAAAAAGTTGGTGGTTCGAATCTACCAGCAGCTCCTCAGGAGAAAAGACCCAGCTCTCTGTCCTGTAAAGATGACTTACCACACAGGAAAGCCCGGAGGGCACTTCTAATCTGCCTTGGAGGTTGCTGTGAGTCCAAAGAGACTGGACATCAACAAATGGAGAACTTGATTGGAATTGAAACATGATAAGAATGCCACTCCCACCCAGAGATAATGTTCAGCATCCTTTCAGGTTTGTATGGGTAGGAATCATGGGCCTTTTAGAGTGAGAAGGGGCTTTGCAGAGCATGGAGGGTTCTGTGGTACTGTTAGGTAAGCATTGGAATGCTAGCTGCAAGGTCAGTGATTCAAACCCAGCAGCTGCTCTGCAGGAGGTAGGTGAGGTTTTCTGCTCCCATAAAGATTTATAGCCTGGAGAAACCAACCCCATGTCAAACAGTAGATGGGTTGGAGCTGTGTTTCTCAAGAGACTGGTTCTCTCCTCAGTTTATAAAAACAAAAGGAACGAAGAAGAAAGATGCAAAAGTAGGTTTAGCATAGGTTCTCAAACTTATTTGGCCTATGTGTTAGGCCATGTAGACACTCAAGTGTACGAAAGAGCTTTAGATTAATCAGTAATTAGGTATTAAGAAAACATCCCAGCCCAATCCAACTCAAGTCCATAAGTCCCTCTTCAGACTCACATCATCAGAATCACAGGCCGGTGGATGCAAAGTCTTGTGGATCGAAGGTTGGTGGAAGCATGGCAGGGCCCCGGCCGTTATCGGGATGGCCAGCAAGCAAGAGAGTCCAGGCAGAGTGAGGGAGACCACACGCACAAGGAGGCACCATCAGGCTGTGACTTGATTGACAGCTTGGATCCCACCCTTATACTTTTATATATCTTCCAGTTGATATAAAATTATGTAGCTACCACAGCTTACTACCCCCTTTTCAGAGGGGGGTGGTAGAATATAATATATATATAATCTAATATACTAGTGTATAAGCCGAGTTTTGCAGCACATTTTTTAGGGTAAAATTAGGTGCCTCGTCTGATATTCCAGTCGGCTTACACTCGAGTATATTCGACATATATAACTTTATTAATATTACTGATTATATCCCCTGGCAATTGAAACCTTTATTATGATAACCCATCATCTTAAAATAGCTTACAGGTACCTGCTTTTGCAGCCCCTTAGATCGGTCCAGTGCCCCCACTGTGGGAAACACTGCAGAGAAGTGCTCTGTCAGAGCCCATTTAATGGCAAGGAGCTCAGGTTTTTAGTTTGAAGAGGATAGACTCCGATCCTTTCATTTACTTTGCTGATCAATAAATCTGCTTTAAGATGCAAACCTACTTTTGCATCTCTCTCCGTCGTTCTCTTTGTTTTTATAAACTGAGGAAAAACCAGTCTCTCGAGAAACACAGCTGTAGCCCATCTCCTGTTGGACAGGGAGCACCATGTGGTTGGTTTTCTCTGCCCTGCTACGTATTTGGCTCCCTAGAGTTGAACTTGTATACTTGTGAGGGGCTTGATGCGCTTGCCTGATTGGTTGGAAAGATGAACCAGGAAGGTTATCCTGCGATGATATGAATGTTGGAAACTGAACATATGCCTACTTTCTTACTTATAATATAGCTAATATGTGTGTATTCACTTGCCTGCCCCCCCATAGTGATTTTCACCAGATTTCAAATATTATTGTTTTTAACATAAAACTAGAATTTGTAGAGATTTTTACCTTTTGAGCTAAAAATCCAACCCCAAATTTAAACTTGCAGTGATGTGAAACTTGGAAATTCTTGGTAGCAGAGGCGCTTGCATAGAGTCACCACCATCTAGTTCTGACCATGTATGTGTTGGATACTTGAGGTTTCATGAAGTAAGCTACACTACAACCCAAGCACTGTACTGAAACAGAGACCAAATTATGACAGAACCCTCCATCTGAAGGGAGATTTCCTAAATTCTGGAAGGAGTTAATGAATTTGGACTAATACAGCTTACTAAGGATTGGAAGTTGAATTTAGTCATTATCTTAGTGCTTTTACTGAAGTTATCATGGTAATACAAAAACTTTCAGAAGACAACACACATTCACAGACAGTTTCACTTGTGAATACTGATGCAGAAGCTTAAACAAAATATTCAAAAGAATCATGCCATAATCAAATTCAATTAATGTGAACATACAAAGATGAGTCAGTATTAGGAAATGTTTAATTAATTTACCATATTACATCAAAAGAAAAAGTGTATGATTATGTAGAATAGATGTTTTAAAGCCTTTTGATAAATAGGCAACATTCTTTCCTGAATGTAAAGGTAAAATGACAATTAGTCACCAAGTGAAATTTCAAATAGAATTTTTTTCAAATCAGGACAGAAGGGAAGCTAAGATTATAGACAATAAGCAATACCTATCACTCTGTATAAAGCAGGTTTGAAGATAGTTATATAAAGGAAACTTTACTTCTCTCGTCTCTGAAATCCACCTAAATCAACAAAGGCCCAAAGAGAAAACTTGTTACTTGAAGCCGTGGACTAGGGTTGAACTATTTTGCTCAAGAAATTAGCTAGGAAAAAACTTTTTAACCAACGCCTGGACTTATATGGGGCTGAGGGTTTGGAAAGGTGGGAAGACACACTCTAATAAAGGTGAATTAAGTTGCTCTGCCTTTGAATCAGTTCAGTGCACATACACCACGGTGACAGGAGCCACAGCGCCCTGTGCACCATGTAAAGCTGGTTCTGGAGTGAAGATGCGGGTAAGAGGCATTGACAAGACGATGGAGTAGGGGAGGGACCGTGAAGCAGAGAGAGCCAGAAAACCTTTCCAAATGAGTCTGCAATCCCAATTCCAGAACACAGAACATGCAATGCCAAAATCATACAGCTTTATATCAGATAATAGCTTACATAGACACCTTTGGTAGCCTGGTGAGACCTACAGAATCGAGTCTGGAAATTCCTAAAATAAAATGCATTTTATTACATACGGAACCAGTTACATTGAAATAGAGTTGTCAGGTATTTTAGAGTTCTTGTAATATAACGTGTGCTTATTTATTAACACTTGAATAAGATTAGGTGATGATTCTAGTAGATACTGTGCTTTCTAAGTTATGAGTGTCAATGGTATTTCTAAATACACATAACAGCAGAATTGTAATATGAAAATGTTAAGTGACAATGTGATGTCGGTTGGTGACACATATTGTAAATCCAGTGATGGTTTATTGTTTATATTTTCAGTTGAAGAAACTGCGAATTTTCATTACAGGCTAGTGAAAGTAAATTGAGATGTTTTGGTTTCTTTTTCCAGTCAATTTGAAA